CATCAGCAAATGCAAGTGCATATACCAGCCCTTCTGCAGGACCAGGCGCAAATGTCAGTGCATACACCAGCCCTTTTGCAGGACCACGCAGCCAGCCTTTACTCAAGACCAGCGCCTGCCTCAATCCTCATCCTCAGAGGCCTCCAGCTCAAATGATCCATGACTGCACCTTAGGTGCATGGCCAGCCTCCAGCGCCAAGCCACCTTTGCTGGAACCATGTGTGGACTGGTTCCATTCAGACAGTGATGGGCTATGGAAGACATAAATCCAACCATTGTTTCTCCTGTGTATGTTGCCACAAACTTGCAGTTCAAAAAGGCACATTGATCAGGCATATGTGCAGCATAATGCATTTTTGGGATGGTATTCCATTGTAGCCTGTTTTCAGACATTGAAATCTTTGCCAGCTTTGCATAATGGAGAAGGCACAAATTGGTATGCTTCTGGAAAGCTTTGCTGGCCTTTGCTGGAAGATGTAGACCAAATCCTTCAATTGCTTCATACATGTGGAGCAGTTGCTTGATACAATCCAGGCGATGCTTTTGGTAAGGTGTCTCATCATTGAACTCAGTGCAAATTTCAACAAATGGCTCAACTAAATATCTGATGTGTCTGGCCTTGTAGCCACTCAAGTCAGGAAAGAAGCCATGTTTGTCCTTGACATTGCAAAAGTGACTGAAGCCAAGCTTCCTGATTCTGTTGCTGCTGTCCACACCAAGTTCTGTATATTCTTGGCAAATCCTTTTGAACAGTGCCTTCAGTCGAAGCTCTTGAGAAGCACCAGGGAAGTGTGCTCTGACAATCATGTCAAACATGATGTTTGCAATAATGTGCCCAGTCAAGCCTTCTTCAAGGATATGCAGGCAATCATAATGAAAAGAATACCCATTCACTCCTGGCACTGTTGATATGACATGATCAGTTGGACAGCACCCATTGTGGGAAATCTTTGTGCCTCTCCAGGCTGCTCCCAGCCTATAGTCATTGTGGGGACAATCTGATGTATTGGCCCTACAGTTGAAGCACATGGAGGAATGGCTAGCGCCTGCTAGCTTCATCTCATTTTTGTAGAACTCAAGATCTCCTGTTATGGCAAAGATGATGCCCTTGTAGCCATTGTGCAATTGCTGGCCTGCATTTAGGGCCCTCTGACTTTTGGGTGGCCAGGCATTTCCAAGGTAGTCTGTTTCTGGAACTTACCATAAAAGAGGTGCTCCATGCTCCAAGCAAGGATCTTCCAGATCTGGCACATTGTGTCCTTGCCAGCATCTGCTTGACATTTGTGCATGGCTGTTTTTGGTATTGCTGCCAAAAGCATCTGTGAGTGAGCAACACTTGCTTTTGATAGCAATGACCTCATGGATATGACCATGATGGAATCTCCTCTTTGAAATGAGCCAGCATCGCCATGAAGCACAAGAGGAAGAAACTTGCTAATGTCTTCCTCAGCAGCTGGATTGTTCACAAGTTTTGGATCTCCCATATCATGTTCTGCCCAGAACTGTTCAAGGTGGCTGAACCCACTGGCCAGCTCCTGTTCAAGAAGCCAGGGCAGCCATTCATGGGGCAAGAACAGTGCCATTGGCTTCAGCCCAAGCACCCAATCTTCAGGCGTCTTGACAGAAACAAGAACTTCAGGGAAATACGGTTCTGGCAATGTAATGTTGTCTGCTTGGCAATACTTTGCAATGAGCTGGCTAGCAATGTGGCTTCCATTCCTGCCATAGTTGCCCAGGCTCGCCAACTCTTGCATATCAGGAGAGGTGGCACCACTCTTTGTGGCAGCAAGAGCAATGCCCTGGAGAGAGGGGCCCTCAGACAAACAAGAAAGAAGCAAATGCAAAATTTCAATACAAGCCTGGGCTTAATTGCTGGCAAGGTTCTGACATTCCTGAAGCAAAGTGCTCCAAAAGGCACAGGCCAAGGGGTGAAAATTCAACATCATGTTTTACATCTTCCTGTTCAACCTGTACCTTTTTTTCTTTTCCATTTACTCATGGGGGTGCCCTTCTCCAAGACCCTCACTCCAATAGAGGAAGCCCTTCTGCAGGACCTCTTCTTTCCTAGGCAGCTTTGTGCCAAAACAAAAGCCTTCAGCACTGATTTCATGTCTTTTCCAAACTGAAGCAGCTTGTTTGGTTCCCAAACTTGGACAAACATTTTTTCAAAGGCCTTGGCTGGTGCAAGCTATCTTTGCAAAAGCCCTTTTCCAAGACCCTATATGGCTTCTGGTGCAATCTGTCTTTCCAAGAGCCCAGTGCAGGACCCATGGGGTTGCTACAGCCCTTGCTCAGGACCCTGAATTTTTCCCAGCAATCTACAATCTTTTTGCTTTTTTGATGGCATGAGCGGCTTCAAAGAGTTCATTTTTGCAGCTCTCAAGACTGATGCTCTTCTTGGGGGGTAGCTTCTCCAGCTTGGATAGTGTCCCTTCCAAAGCTTTGCCCTTGGCAGGGGCAATGTCTTTCTTCACCTTCTTCACCAGTGAGGCCATCTTTTTGGGCCTCTTGGAAGCCTCATCCTTGCCCATCTTGCCACCAACCTCACTCAGCAGCTCTGCTTCAACTTCATGTTCATCCTTTTTCACCCCAGAGCCAGAAGACTTGTTGCCTTCAGACCCTTCCTCTGAGTCATCTTTATCCATGAGGGCAAGAGCATTCTGTTTATTCTTCTTGACAGCTTGGCCAGGGAGCAGGGCTGCCAAAGCATCTTCCCCCTCTGTGTTCTGGCCACTTTCCAAGAGTGCCATGCCCTTCATTTGAATCCACTGCGCTGCCTCACTCTTGCCACCCTGAGACATCTCATGCTTGTGATGCATCTCTGTCTGGCTGTAGCTGGTCATGGTCTCCATGCAGAACTGCCACTCCTCCTTGTCTTTGGGATCCCTTCTGCACCTGATGCTGCCCCTTTTCACCCTTCTCATGGTCTCATGAAGCCCATGTCGCCTCAAGATAACAGCCAAAGGGACCCACTCCTCTTGCTCTTTTGAGCCACTGGTCCTGCTGAGTGACATCATTTCCTTGGTAGACCTGAGAGTTTTTCAAGTCACCACTGCAATCCAAGAAGAGCTTGAGCATCTTCTTCTTGTTCTCATCAGACCCTTTGCCTTTGCAGTGCAGGTTCCAAACCTGGTCCTGCTCAGGGTCCTTGCAAGCAGATCTGGCTGAAGAGAATCTCTGCCACAAGCATTCTCTCTGGCCCTTTGTCAAGGTGTCCAGAAAAGAATTGATGTCTTGATTTTTGCTCTTGTGCCATTGCTCCATCTTGTCATCAAGGGGCATACCCTGGGTAGGCAAGCCTGAGAAGTCCAAGTTGGCTGCAGGCTTCTTGTGGGTTTTTGGTCCTTTGGTTTTCTTCACCAATTTCTTCATTGGTCCCATCCTCCTGAGCACTTCCCCAGTGCCCACTGCAAAATCCACAGAAAATGTCCAAAACTTTGAGCACAAAAACACACCAAAAAAATGTTTGTCCTCATATGAGCTCATATGAGCAGGTCTTGCCTCATATGAGGCATTTTTTGCCTCATATGAGGCACCCTTGCCTCATATGAGCTCATATGAGGTGATGTGCTTTCCCAATGCTGATTGTGATTTTGTGGTGGTGAGAGGTCTGTAGATAGAGTTGGGTGTGATGTTCAGGGGGGTGTGAGAGACTCTGAAGAGTAAGTGTGGCCATGCCCAAAAACAGTCAGTGCACACTTTTTCTGCAGGCCATGTGGGCAGTGCACTGCCAATGCTTCAGCTTGAGCCCTTCCTCAGGACCCTGGAGCCCTGCTCAGGACCCCTGGCACACAATGCCCTTTCTCAGGACTTGTTTTGTGGTCGCCTTTTTTCTTCCTCCTTTTCTGTGTTTGCCAGCCACCATCTTCCTCTCCAGCCTGCTCTTTCCCCTCTTCCTTCACAGGCTGCTTGTCACCTACAGGCTGCTTCTCCACCTTCTGCTCTTCTTCCTGCTTCTTGGGCTGTGGCTTTGCCTTGGCATTCAGCCATGGTGGCCTGTGTCCTGCAATCATACAGGGCACTTGGTTTGGAGTAAGAATTGCACATAAGTGTCCCTGCAAAAAACATCAGCAGCACAAACTGTTTCACCACCAACCGCTTCCTTCTTCTTCTCCTTTCCCTTTCCCCTCCACCACAATGCTTGAGCTTGAGCTTGAAGAGGAGGGGCTTGAGGTGCTGGAGCTGCCCTTCCCACCTGAAAGCATTGGCAAAAAGGTTAGCATTACTTGTGTTCAGCACTGCCAGGCCTCCACTGGTGCCTTTTCCCTGGGCACCTTCTCCTGCTGGAACAATCTATATAAAAAAAATTCAATAGCTGTGCCCACCCCACCCCTCCAAAAGAAAACACACACAGAAACCTTGTTGGGCAGGCATGTAGGAGGGCTGGTTCTTGTAGCCAGTGGACCTGTTTGGCTGCACCTGCTGCTGGTAGGTGGGCTGGGCCTGGTGGTACTGTTGCTGGTAGGTGGCCTGGTACTGCCATGCATTGTGCTGCCAAGCCTGCTGCCAGTGCCAAGCTTCTGCCTGGCCTTGTTGCCACCTCCAGGCTGCTGCTGCGGCCTCCTGTTTGGCCTCCTGCTTTTCCTTGTTTCTCAGGAGCCTCTG